TTCCTGCTCTCCACCTCTTCTCCTCTACAGACAGACTTCATGCTTCAGGTGTTTCAACCCAGTCCCTCTCTGGCTCCTCGGATGCCCTTCTCCATTGGGCAGGTCACAATGCCCATGGTTATGCCCAGTGCAGATCCCCGTTCCTTGTCTTTCCCAATCCTGAACCCTGCCCTTTCACAGCCCAACCAGCCTTCCCCACCCCTTCCTGGCTCCCATGGGAGAAGTAGCCCTGGCTTGGGTTCCCTTGTTGGCCCCCATGGTCCACACATCCCTCCTGCCGCCTCCATCCCGCCTCCCCCAGGCTTGGGCGGTGTTAAGGCTTCTACTGAAACTCCCCGGCCCCAACCAGTAGATAAACTGGAGAAGATCCTGGAAAAGCTGCTGACTCGGTTCCCACAATGCAATAAGTAAGTATCTTTAAGGACTAATTTTTAATAGTTTGTCAGAGAAATGTTTATGGACTAAAATAGGGGAGATTTCATGGATCTTCCCCTTGAGTATAGCATAAAATCTCTCCTTTTCTTTTTAGGGCCCAGATGACCAACATTCTTCAGCAAATCAAGACAGCACGTACTACCATGGCAGGCCTGACCATGGAGGAACTGATCCAGTTGGTCGCTGCACGACTGGCAGAACATGAGCGAGTGGCAGCAAGTACTCAGGTAAGACAAGCTACTTGGGAGAGAACTCAGACCTGCTGAGATGTTGGGGAAGAGGCCAATTTCAGAAAAATTTGAGGTGGGAAGCAGCACTGTAGTCAGGGGTATCTAGTCTGCTTTTGTCTTTGCTGGCTTGGGAACTAAATGACTTCGTTTTGTTATATGCTCTGTGACTCAGACTCTTTCCTTACTCTAACATTGTTTCTGCCCACAGCCACTTGGTCGGATCCGGGCCTTGTTCCCTGCTCCATTGGCTCAAATCAGTACCCCAATGTTCTTGCCTTCTGCCCAAGTTTCATATCCTGGAAGATCTTCACATGTAAGACTCTTTTTCTTTGAAAAGTAGGATGTGAAAGGAATGGGTGGGTTAATGAGGAGGGAGCAGGTTTATAGATGGACTGCAGTGAGAAACCATGATCTCAGCAAGAATCTATATTTGAACTTTTATTTCTTTTGGTATAAAATCTTTTTGCTACATGGATGGAATTATAGACATCGTAGGCAAGGAGATCCAGAGGTTTCTTACTCTTTTGACCATCCCTTCTCTGTTCTGCAGGCTCCAGCCGCCTGTAAGCTGTGTCTTATGTGCCAGAAACTTGTTCAGCCCAGTGAGCTGCATCCAATGGCATGTTCCCATGTGTTGCATAAAGAGGTGGGTGCTCCATACTTTCTTTATTTTCTACTCTTTCTTTTCTGACAACTGAGATAATTTAACTTTTCTCGAACATTTCTTGATACTCATTGTTCATATCTAAACAAAGTTTTTAGTAAATTGTGGCTTAAACATCAGCAGAATTCAGGATACTGTCTGCTAGGATCTCCCAGCTTCCTTTTACTGTGTACCTTTTTAGGGGACTGGATAAGTAATTCACAGAAGAGCAATTTATATTAGAGCACTCTCTTAGAAAATGAACGATAAAAAATACATATCTTAACTGTTTCAAATATAGCATTGTCAATAGACTTTGCTTAGATGAGAGGAATGGAATAGGGAACCTCAATTTGAGATTAGTAATTCTATTAACAGAATAGCTTGAAGGCCTGCCTATTAGAGATTATCTTCTCAAACTGACGAATTATTCCCATCTTTTATTATGTTACCAGGCAGAGTTAAATCTCTTAGCAGCAGGGATGATTTCTTTTTTACTATTTTATTTTATTCGTTTCATTTTTCTAAGAGGTAGAAACTGAATTTATATCTAAATTCTTGGTAAGAGAAAATCCTGAATAAGATTTGAGAACAATAGCTATTAGGAAATGGAAGCTCATCTCAGCCTAAATGGATCATAAGAAATAGTAAGCCTAGTTATTCAACGAAAGGCAGCTTTACGCTATTATTAGCTGATAGTCAATATTTCCTATAAAAAGAACAGATTCACCTGCTCTGAAGATTTTGGTGCGGGGTGGGTAAGAGCCAGTGAAATAGCCCTCTTATCCTCTGTGATAAGAGATTTTCTGACTTAGTAAATATTCCTTAGATCTGTTGAACCTTTAATGGCACCTTCACTCTTCCTTCCCTCCATCTTTCCAGATAAACCTGAGGTATGTTTTTCTTTCTTTCTAGTGTATCAAATTCTGGGCCCAGACCAACACAAATGACACTTGTCCCTTTTGTCCAACTCTTAAATGACGGACCTGACTGGGGAGGAAGAAGAGGAGAAACTTGATGTGAACAGGAAGCGCGGGTTCAGATTTCTAAAACTCTATATTTATACAGTGACATATACTCATGCCATGTACATTTTTATTATATAGATAATGTGTGTATAGAAAGTCTGTATTCAAATGTTCGTAAATGAAAGTATGTATATTATGCAGAAATGGTCTGTCCCCTTCATCTTGCAATTCGTTTGGGGGATACAGAGTGTAGCTAAGATGATGTTTAGTTTGATCTTGCAATTATGATCTTCCTGCCTAGGGCTGTTTTCAAATACAATATAAAAACCATCTAGGAAGCTGCTGTTGCTCTAAGGCCATCCTGCTTTGATTTGGCTCAACTGCAAGTCCATTTTCTTAAGGCTCATGTATGCAGATTTGAATTCTGGTGCTTACCTGCTGTCCAACCAGATGCCTTGCTTACTGAAAGCCTCCAGAATCCTTGGTGTTGTGGTAGCGACTCTACTCCAAATGGATAAAGTGAGACTGATTGGGGGCAGGGGGGATGTAACCCTAATAGTTTGACTTTTCATTGAGTATTTTACTGTGTTAATGCTCATTATTTGTACATAGACTTTAGGTTTACAAAAATATTCTATTTTACATCAGCAAAATTCACAGTCCAAGAATAACAACATAACCAGGTCCCATTTCCCCCATGCTCCCACAAACTTCTGTCAACCCTACTTCCTAGATAGTCATCTCTTTAGAAACTAGCATGACCTATAGGTCTTTCCTGGGCCAAGCCATCCTTTGCCACCACTGATGTGGCCACCCTTGTGAAGTCCTTATCTCTTCCCCTTCATTTCTAGTCTAGTCTAGCTAACCCCCTCCCCCTTGATGGTTAAGGCAGTTGGTTCACAAATAAGTTGTTTAGTGACCTTGGGTGAGTTCCAGGCAGGCACTGGGGTGAGGAGATGTCCATGCAAAATTACTTTCAGAATGATCTCGGGATGCTGGGTTTTAATTTTTGAAGCAAGAAAGCTGTGGAGGACATGTTTCCTATCTTGGGAAAAATAGAGACCAAAATGATGCGAAGAAGGGAGATTGAGTTTCAGGTTTATAAGTCATTTGTTCCATGGATAGCTATCTGGAACTAGCTTATTTTGCCACCTCTGCTTATTGAACACTTCTGGTTTTTAGGTTTATACCTGGGAAAGCTATGACTCTATTAGAGTTTCGAATCTTTTCCCATCCTTTTTACTCCTATCAGAAATGTCTTCAGTGCTCTCCTTTTCTTTTGGAATTAAACAAGTAAAAATGAAGTGTTAATTTAAAAAAAATTAGCTCTAGGGGAAGGACATTATTATATTACCAATAGCTAAATTTTCCCATTCTGGGACCTGGAAGTGCTTACTGGCACTAGCAATACATATCAGGATAGCAAAAACATTTCCTTTTAGATCCATCTAGATTCTCTCCTGTTTTTGTTTCTCTCTTCCTTTTTTATTTTGCTTCCTTGCCTGTCAGCTCATGGACATATTCTTTCTTTTCTCTTGCATTACTTGCCCATGCTTATTGACTGGCATCAGTGTTAGGAGCTGGGTTTTCCAGGACCTTGTTGGCATCTTTTAGGGTCATTGAAATGGCATGAGTATACCCCGCTTTGTAGAGGTCAGATGACCACTTTGGTTAATGAAATATTAATGTTTCCAGTTTGGTAGCTGTCACAATCAGGAAATGTGGCAAAATGGAAGACCAGTTCCTTTGTTCTTTTCATTTGGCGGGGGGATTCATTTTTTTATCTTATAATCTTCAGATTTTATTTCCCCTCAACTTTGCAGCAGCCCTTGGGCCACCTGTAATATTTTTTAGGATCCCCTGAAAATTTAGAAATTAGAAATGGGTATAAAAAATATTATGTTTCTTTTCCACAAATCTTTGAAGCCAAAGGAGTAGAGAGAAAAGGAGGGAGTAGGTAGGGGGGTTTAACTGCTTCCTAGTAAAAGCCCTTGAAAGCCAACTGTAGCAGGAGGACAGGTGTTTTAGAGAGTTGTTCATGGGAGCTGGGGCCTCATTTGTTGCTTTTTTCTCTTTCTTGTTCAAGATCAATCAGAAAGCAACACTGAAGTTTTGGCCACCCACGTTCTCCCTTTTCATTCTGTCCACTGGCCTGCCACAATAGAAGCCATTCTGACCAATGGGAAAGGCCCTTAATGCAGTGAGTGGAGATGGAACAGTCATTTTTCTGGAGTAGAATTTAAAAGTAGAGATATAGAATACATATTTTTACAAGCAAGAAGCTGTTGTCAAGATTTTCTTTTACACTTAGAGTTTAGTTTCAGGGTAGAAAGGAAGAAACTGTAAAAAGGAAAATAAGCACAAGTTTTCTCCTAAAAGAAAACAGGACAATGAGACTTACTAATGAAGGGGTTTTATGCCCTGGAAAGAACTGGGGAAAAGCCAGTTTTCCCCAATATGGGTAGAAATTATAAAGCAGAAGGTGGCATTTTGATTTCACGGTAGCAATTCTGGAAGTTTATTTACACAGTAAGTTCCGAGCTGGAAGTGGACACTCTCCAGTCTTTCTTGTCAGTCTTTGTGGTTATGGGCTGTTCCCAGTTAGCCAAAGTAGCACCAAGTGCAGGGGAATGAAGAGAATTCAGCGGTGGGGTGGGGGACACGGACGGATGTGACTCAGTATTCCTGGTTTTATTGGTTTATGGCTTGTGGTCAGCTGGCTGAGGCCAGGATCTCCAGAGGCCCTCCTTGTATTTCCCTCTCCCTCATCAGGTACTTCCACACTTGGTAGGTCCCATGCCTGGAAGAAGTGTGTTGACCACCTAGGAATAGGATCCAGTGGATATACTAGGAAAATTCAGCTCTTCCCACTAACACTGGCATCATAGCTGACTGTGTTAGAACTGATAGGAAATGAACTTGGTCCCCAATACATAGCCCAAGAACCAGCCTTGGTACCCAAGTACTCTTAGGAGTGGGGAGTAGAGAGCAGGACGGGGAAAGTATGGCCTCCACTGAGGGGCTCTTGTGAAGGAAGTAAGGAAGCCCTAAAGCTGCCATCCTTTCTCCAAGCAGCTTTGTTATTGAAGGCGATGATGCTAGAACCAGAAAGCCCTGTGTTCCTGACCCTCTTGGTATAATACTTATGCCACTGTGGGATGCTTCGGCCAAATAAATAGAGGGGACATTAGAGGAAGTGAGAAGGCAATGGCTCTCAAAGATCTTACTACAACTTACACCTGAACAAGAAGAAACCCAGGCAGGGGTATAGGGCATCACCCCGATGCCTGTTGAATGAATCTTTAGAATTTCGCTTTCAATTAGGAGTGGTCTCCTGTTTATTCTTCTTAGTACATCAGCTACAAAGCTCCAGGGACTAGGGAGTTGGAGGTGGGAGTGAAAATGTAACCAGGAAGACAAATCCCAGCTCTGCTGTATTTGCTATATTCCAACTGCTTTCCCATAGGGCACCTGGGGCTTAAGGGGGTTGGGATATTTTAATGCTACCTAGCATATGCAGAGCAAAATGTTCGGATAGAGACAATTGGAATTAATTAGGTAGAAAGTCATTTGTTAGATGGAACTTCTTAGTGTGCACTTTGCATTTAAGAGAGCTAAAGAGCTTTTTGGCTAAATGAGCCCTTCTTCCCATCTCACTTTCGGTCAGGCTGCAACCACAGAAAAGAAAACATTAGGAAGCAACACCCATCTTAGGAGATGAGATTCTATCTTGGAGATGAAGTCTGAAACTGGGACTGGCTTGTGGTCATGTTTCTGCCTTTTCTAGTTTTAATCCCAACTGTTCCCCGTCTTCACACTCCCTCTCCTCCTCTTCCAGCTGTCCCCATTTGTACAAACATTCAGTCTCATTTGTACAGATATTCAGTCTATTTTTTGTTTAATTCAAGAGGCAATCTTTGCACCAATGTTAGGCTTATTGATACAGTTCCTTTCTCAAGCAAATAGCAAACTGCATTCACTCCTACTGACTTTGGCCAGCAGGGAAACAAGATTGGCCCTTTCTCTGCCAGGGTACTGCAGAGACACACACTGGGGTAACCTGGGTGTGATGCCACTACTTCTGAAACTAAGAAAAGAATACTTTGGATTGGAGAACTGAGAGGGTTGGTGGGCAAAGGTTCCAGACTGAAATTTGAAACACCAGAACTTCCCAACTCAAGTTTGAAGTGACCAGGATATTCCCACACCAGAGCATTTCTTTCTTCCTTCTCCTACAGGTACAATCCCTGTAACCCACCTTGCCAGCTTTTACTTTTCTGTCAAGAACAGGCATTTGGTGGGTGGGTGAGGGTCCTGAGGTGCTCTGGCCACAGGTGCCATCTGTCTCCTTGTGACCAAAGTGAACCACCAGATGTGGTCCAGGGGAATCCGTCTTCTGCCCGTGGGCCTCCTCACTTCAGCAGGGAGATGTCATCAGCAAAGTCATCATGTTGATGGCGTAGACAGCGGAGACAGCGCCACTGACACACCATGAGGCAGAGTGGCAGCATGAAGAGGGCGCAAATGGCAGCCATGACATAGGCAATGGTCATGAGTGTTGATTCATCTGTCTGAGGAATGTTGTAGCCACAGTCTTCCATGTCTGGGGTGACAAAAGGGCCTTCCACCGCTGCCGTCCTGAACTCATCGTGTACTGGAGAAACGGCAAATGTGAGTGAGCAGATTTCATTGTCATATCACAGGATTATACAACAAAAAGAACTCCTGATAGGCCTTGAAATTAGCCCCTGAGGAGGCCAGGTGAAGGTGTATCTCCTCCTAGGTCATTGGGAGTGACGGCCTTTTCCTGTATACCTATATAGTAGGTCTGATACGTAAAAGTCAGTTGCTCTGAGTTGACTAAAAAGCCAACCTCATACACACTGAGTAAACTCACCTGCCACTGCTGAAATCCAGTTGTAAAGCCCTGCTGCCATTCTGAAGTAGCATTCAACCTTACCATACTGCAGCTGCCAGGGTCACTATAGGCTTCACCTACTGCCCTTGGATCTATAGTTTCCCAAGATGCCAAGCAGCTGTTGCTGCCCTGGGTCTCCAACAGAGGTTCCCAGTCCAGGCAGGGGTCACCATGCCAGGCAATACCGAAAAAATAAGCACTGACCCTGGCTTTTGCACAATATGTTGACTCTGGCCTGAGGCAATTGTTAACCACCTCCCAGACTCAGGGGCCCAGGTATACTGACTGCTGGACAGGGAGAACATGGATAGACTGACCCCACACTGTGGCGCTCTCACCATGGCAGGCACTGACAGCAAAGCCAATTCGTTTTCGGGCCCGATCAAAGACGACATAGAAGCCCTCCATGATAACAGCTCCCATAACAGTGCCAGTGGATGACTGTGAGATGGCAAACTTGTAACAGTCGTCTTGAGACGTGGCCACGTCTTCCACTGGCCGCAGGTATTGCTAAGGATAAGGAATCAGAATGAAAGTATGTCTTGCTCTCTTCCTCACTCCATCCTTCACCTTAACTCTGCCTTCTAGGTGTCTATGCCCTGAGGTCACTCTTCCCTTTGTCATCACTGAGCTCTGAGGGGTTGGTTTTTCCAAGAGCCCTTTACCACTGGACACTCATCTATTTTGTCTTCCAAGTTGTAGGAAACCATGCCTGCTCACTATCTCCCTATACGTACTTTGTCCTCTTCCTAGGATCCCACTGACTCAGATTAGGGACATACCTGTGGAAGGATGGTGATGCGGAAGGACTGATTGGTCACTTCACCCATTAGGTAGAGTGAGATGACGGGGAAAATGTTCCAAGGGGTAGTCCCTGCTTGCCAGCATACCAGCTGTTCCCCTAGCCAAAAGCCGTCTGGAAACTTCTCCGTCTGTGTTGGTAAGAAAGGGGTAACAATGAGGAAATAGACTCTTTCAACATCTCTCTGCTCCCATTTTCTGATCACATTTACTGGGCCCTTGATTTGCTTTTCCATGGAATATCCAAACTAGGGAAAGGTAAACTGAAACCCAAGAATTAGAGGAAGAGAGTGGGAGAGTGAGGCCGAAAGTCTGTAACAGGGTGGTTTTGTGATGAGCAAACAGGCCCATGGAAGAGAACAGTTTTTAAGAGCTCTAAGCGGAAGGGTCTAGGGGTAGACATCTTGTCTCCTGTTTGAAGAACATGACTTTCACGGACTTCCTCTGACACACTGTCATCTCTGTACCCCCGTCCTTAGTCCCACTGACCGAGGAGGCTGCCTTGATGGATTTGACTGCAGCTTCAAAAACTTTCTTGGGCAAACGAAGGTTGGTGGTGCCACTGTCCACGATGCTCTTGTCATAGTTGTACTAAAGAGGAGAGGAGCGGATTAGAATAGACAGGAGCCTTTTTTTGATGCCAGGCTCTGGCCAGAGTCAGAAGGGCGAGTCTGACTGTGGGGTCCTGCTTGGGTTGGCATCCTGGCCACTTCTTAGGTGTATAGCCTCAGGCAAGTTACTTAACCTTGGTGCCTCAGTTTCCTCATCTTTAAAATAAGGATAATAATAGTACCTACCTCAAAGAATTATAAAGATTAAATTAATACAATTGAAGTGCTTAGAGTAGTGCCTGGTACAAAGGAAGCATTCAGTAAGTATTAAAACATTATCTTGGGTGGGCAGACATTCTCAAGTCTTGAAAATAAAAATATCTTGTATAGTGGTCTTAACTTTTCATAGTATACTTATATCTACTCTAATTTAGCATACATAAAGAAACAAGGTAAGGAAGACCCAAATGGTTTAGCTGCCATTTATTGGGTACTGCTGTGTGCCAGGCATTGGAATAAACACTTTATTTATTATCTGGCTTCACCATAATCTTTGGAAAGCTGTTTTCACGTATTTTACAGATGAGAAACTGAAACACAACATAGTAACTTGCCTAAGGACAGTTAGCTAGCACGTGGTAGAGCTAGAAACCCAAGTCTTCCTGACTCCAAAAGCCGGACTCTTGTATTTATCATATCATACTGCCTTGAAAAAACTTGCCTAAGGCCATAAAGCAAGGCAGTGACTAGGGTCCAGACATGCTTTTTTCATTACTAGATCATAAGCCATGTTGTCCCTGTGAAAGTCCCTAGCTCCAAAGCCCAGGCCCTGCTGTGTGACCCTTATACTCCTGTTCTAGGCTCAGCCCCCAACCCTTTCCTCAGGTCCTGCACCTCTGCCTTGTCCTCCCAATCTCATAACCCAGAGTCTGACCTCACTCTGCGTTGCCTCCCCACTTAGCTCTTCTTGGTTCCCCCTTGGTTTTATTACCTCCTTGCAGTCCATTTTCAGATCCTGTCCATTGATCTCTACCCGCACAATGATCACCTCATAATACCACTCCCGCCGGATGGGTGTGTACCAGAGGCTGCCTGTGTACAGTGAGTGGTCGATACCCCCAATGATCTAGGGAGAAAAAGAGGCAGATACCTGAGTCCCAGCACAGAGGGATGGCAAGTCACCTAGGGAGCAAGCAATAGAACCAGTAATTTCTGGGGGTGGCAAAGCCCTCTATAGATCACCTTTCTCATCTTCCTGCTTCTAATCAAATCATGCCCCAAGTGACTTATAGTTTCTAAAATGTATTAAGAAAATGTGTGCGGGGAAGAGACTTTTCAGGATTTTTATTATTTGTTTCAGAATCACACAGTCCTTGATGTGAAGTTATTTAAACCTAAACCAGCACAATAAATGTTGAATGAATGATTATTTGCTTCTATTATAAATTTTATTTTCTCTGCTTGTTGGAGATGGAGCACCATTCACCAGTTGTCCTAATTAATTAATAAATAGACTTTCAAACTTATATCTCTGCTTTCTGATCATCAGACTGAATAATTTTAATTCAATAGGTCTAATTTTCATTTCCTTTGAAATTTTCCTAATCATATCTGATCCTTTCCAAGTTTACCATAGGTGCCTTGAATCCTTTCTGGAATAATGCAAGGAAGAAAAGGATTGAAAAAGAAAAGTGGGGCTGGGGAGTACAGAGATTCTAAATAGTGGAGCCTAAGACTGGTGTAGCTTTGGAGGGGAGGCAGATGGTACCCACCTCTTTGCCCAGTGCCAGGACCTCCCCTAGGACCTACTTACCATGCTCCCTCCAACTGAGGCCAGCGCTTCTGACTGGTTGAGGGGGAAGCCAGCACCACAGAGCTGCAGGGAGAAGAGGTTGGGAACGTGGGTCTGCTTTACCAGGGAGTCAAAGAAAGGCTCCAGAGAGTCATCGGGCTGCGGCAGAAAGAGACAAGGCGTGAACCCTCACACAGAGGGTCTTAATAGACTGAGGGCAGCTTTCTGCCTCAACTGGAAGGCAAAAGCAAGGACTTGGGGGATGTTCCTTGGGAAAGACCATCTTGAGGTACTGAGTTTGGCGGAGAGAGGGTTAGCGAGAGACACTGGCGATGAAAACAGAAAAGTACTGATGGGCCCACAGATCTCTAGGAGCTTTGGTCCCTGCATGCCTAACCTGTTTCAGATTAATGGGCGCTCTTATTCTTAAAGATCTTAGTCAGTAGAAACCACAGCCTATTCCTGTACCTATCACAGCATGTCTCACGATAGTTCTGCTTTCTATAGGGATAATATTCAGACTGCCATTCTATCTCCTTTTTAAATAATCCTTTAAGCTGATTTATTTCTCTCCCTTAGTCAGTCCCCTCCCCTTTTCTTTCTCAACTCCATCCCTGTGTAGCATGCAGTGTGCAATGTGTAGTCACAGTGTCTGAGGCTAGGCCTTGTTCCACTCACCCTGGCGATCTCAGCATAGGCCAGCCCCAGGATGCCTTCCCAGTTGGAGCCGTTAATGAAGAACTTGTCTGATTCAGTGATGGCAGCAATGTTGGCACGCACAGTGACATTGGGGCCATGAGGGATGCTCACCAGGTCGGTGCCCAGCTCCCCCTCCCACTTCCCCTGGGTATAGGGTACATACACGCCCTTCCGGAGGTCCCGGTATGTGCTGGACCTGTGGAAAAAGGCAGAGATTTGTGGATGCGTAAGGACAACAGTTGGTATAGGGATCCAGCCTCAAAGCTATTCTCAAATGCCTAGCCTTATCTCAGTGGCATCCTAGATAAGTAAGATACTTTTAAGCTGCTCAACAGAACCCCTAGGGAGATCAATCACCCAGAACAGAATGTAAAGTGGCGTTGCAAATAGAAGAGGGAAGCTGTTGCTGGGGCTTGCTTTCCTGTCTCCATAACTCATATTCCTAGATCTTGAGCTCAGGCCCTATGAAAAACAAGCCTAGGCTTTGTGTATTGTGCTTTTTGCTGCTGAAAGGACAGCTAGGGGGCATCTCCCCACCCCCGCTCCATCAAACTCCCAAAGAAAAGGAGCCATTGATTCTCTTGCTGCCTTGGGACCCAGTGGTACCATCTGAGTGGTAGAGAAAATACTAAGCAGGGTGAATGTGAAACCTCTGCAGGTTCTTCCAGAGGAGGGATTTGCATAAGCATCTCAGCAGAGCATGAAGGTATTATATACCACACTTGTATGAAACATGCATATCTACATGTGACACCCCACCTGTTTAATCATGCCACTAACCAGGGCTGTGTGTGTGTAATGGGGGACAGTGATGGGACTGGGACAAGGACCTAGAATGAATTCTCTTTCATTGACTCTGAGCACAACCCACTTCCTGACTGATTTCTCTAAGGGAAGTTAAAGGGAAGGCGGCCTTAGAAGGCAGGAGTTGGGGAAGGTGGCTTTGGCATCTGCCTAGAAGTCCAAGAATGGGATTTAAGGCTCTAGTCACATGTTTTCACACACAAAGATACCTCAGACATTAGATATCCTCACGTCACTTCCTGCTTTTATGCTAAAGTGACGCCCAGGTCTTTCCTCACTACCTCTCCTACCTTAAAAACCCACTTCAACCCTCCCTTCCACCAGTTAGCTAAATCCAGCTGCCGAACTCCGGGTGGTGCAGGGAGGAGACATTTTAGCTTACATTCCCTCATACTGGTCCAGGCAGTGGGCTTTACGGAAGGCTCTTTCTTCACTTCTGTGAACTGTGCAAAGTCACCAAGAGTGGCCCCAGGTGAGAACAAAACAAAGCAAGCTATCACTGCAGCCTAGACTTCATTGGTGTCAGAAAACAGAGCCACTGAGGGGGTATAGGGTCAAGTCTCCTTGCCTCTTCATTCAGGAAGCGAGAATGAGACCGCTGAGATTGCTCTGGGAGCTCTGGGGCTGCTCTCCTTTCCCTCCCACAGGAAGCTGCCTGGTCTCAGTACTGAAGAACTTCCTGGCTGCCCCTCAACTTAACCTTTCCTCAAATCCACCCCCATCCCACTCTTCGTTCCTAGTCACTGTTGCCTTCTTTTCCTTTCCCCTTCCCCAGCAGGAAGACAGGATCTGAGGAGCTAGTATTTCTCTCTGCAGTCCTCTTTCTCTCTGACCCTTCTTGGCCCTGGATCCTTGGGAAGGATTCTTCCCTTCAGCTCTCCCCAGGACTCACAGCTGTCTCTGGTAGTAGCGATGCAGAAAAGGGTGAGGGGCAGCCCCCACTGCAAAGTTACTGCTTCCTGTGTCCACCAGGATGTTGAGCTGTCAGAGAAAGGGGAGAGGAATACGTTATCAACTGGAAGCTCTGGAATTACCACCACAGCGTCCTTCACCCCACCAGCTACATAGCCTCCTTTTGAAATGTCCAGGGTGAAGCTTCCATGAGGTAGGACTGGACAGGCAGGCACCTGTCCAGTACCACGACCACAGACAGAACATGCTGTCCTATGACGTCCTCAGCATGGCCTCAGAAACCTTGTGTCTGCTACTGTCTTCTCTATAGAATCAACATTTACTGTGTCATCAGAGCCACATTATCTCTGTGTGTGTATGTATTATCTCTAGTCCTGTCTCTCTACCCTGAGATTTCCCTTACTTACATTGTTTACCTGTCTGATTCTGTCTTCAGAGCTTGCCCTTTCCCCTCCTTTTCTAGTTCTCCTAGGAAGCACATCACTCAGCAGGCAGCCTTGTTTGTCCCCCTCCAGCTCAGAAAGGACTGTTCTAGGAGCTGGCACTGGTGAGGGGAGCTGTGGGGGCCATGATGGCAGGTCGGTGCCCACATGTTTCTGACCCTGCCTACAAGAATGAGGCTTCCCATGAGGGGCTCCCCTTCTATCTCAGAGGTGACACAGACCAATGAGTCCTACTGTCAGAAATGGTGAGGAGTCAGGAATCCAGTATGCTGTTCTATCTCATCAGGGCCCTGGTTTTTGGCTAAATGAACATGGACAGGTGTCTTTTTGGTATTCCTTGTGCAGCTCCTAGAATCTCTTTTACTTGTCCCTCCTTCCTCTTCTGATGGCCTGACCCCTCCCTTAGTCAATCCAAAGCCGTTTTTTGAATGACTACTATATCCTCATAGGCAAAGAGGAAAGGCCACTGTCCTGAGAAACACAGTCATCTGTAAAGTGAGTCCTTTCTTGCCAACTTGCCAGGTCCACCAACCTCAGCTTCTCCCCTGAGCTCAGGGCTTTTCTTTTCTGTATCTTTTCTCCTCAGTGCAGTGAAGTCAGCTGACATCAGTTTGGGTCCAGGCTCTGACATTGTCACCATAGGCAGGTCACCATGCTTCTCTGGGCTCCAGTTTCCTCCTCTCTGCTGGCTCCTTCTTGCTCCAGTGGTCCTCTGTGGCACTGCCGACTGCACCTCCCCCAAGGCCTGCTCAGGCTTCTTGGCCTCCCTCAGTCTCCAAAGACACCTCTTCACTGTCACCCCAGCTCTCTGACCCTGCTTTGGCCCTCCTTCCCAGCTCCCCACTCCTGGCTTGGTTCCCATTTTCCTCCCTGCCTCTTTCCTGGACTTCTCTCCGTTGTCCCTTTCCCTGGTCTCCCAGCAGCCTCCAGGCTCCAGATGCTCTGCTTTTAGAGAGAATCAATAAAGCTGGAGGCACAGCAGTTCAGATTTCAATCAACAAAGTTAATGATTAAAAAGGCTTCTTCACCCACCTACTCCCCAGGATCCTCCTCCCCCACCTGTCAGGACTCTGCTCCCAGCCCAAGTTCAGCCTCCTATAGGCAGGGATCCCTGCTATCATGTGACCACAACACTGGTCCCCGTGGCTGTTCATGGGAGGACTGCCTAGAATGTGTGCCTGGCTGGCTCTAGGAAAATATCACCACTTTTTACACTGGAATAGAGCTTTTATCTGGAGATTTGGCATCCCAGCTGTTTCAGGCCCACCCTCTTCCAAACACCTCTCCTCTCCTTCAGAGGGAGGGGCTCTTTCTATAGCCCACTCCCTCTCCAGCCAGGAGGCCAGGTCACTCTAGTTGCCCTTCCAGTCCCAGCCTTTCTCCTTGTCTGAGGAAGAAAGGCTGGGACTGGAAGGGCAACTAGAGTGACCTGGCTTCCCCTTTTCACCTCAAAGGAGGTCAAGCCCAGGGAAGAATGACCCCCTCCACTCCCATTTCGCTCCACTCCCTGCTCACTCATCCTCTAACAGGAATTCAGGCCACCATTGATCTCTCTTCCCCCCCGCCCCCCAAAATGGGAAATCAAAATAAGCAGTTGAGATTTTCTCCTGACCAAAATGTCTGTCCTCTGCAGTGCGATCCTGCCTCTGAGAGAAATGATTTCTGGTCCTGTGCTTCAACATATCTAGCGTGAACCCCCTGGCCAACCTCCCACAGAAGTCTCTGATAGGGCAGGGGCCTTTGGCAACCAGGGCTACCACACTCACCATGAAACAGGGCAGTTCAGGAGAGCCCAAAAGAGGAAAATAGTGCTGCCAAATCTAAGCAAACGCCTTTACCTCTCATTTCACCTCTTATTCCACCCAACAGAGGCCATCAGATGGGACCTCCCTCACCTCCCACAACCAGTCATTGCAACCTGCCTGGCCAAGCCTTTGGCCACACAGGCCAATCCTTTCTCTCAGCTGTCCCTCCTCCTGGCTCCAGAGGGACTTCCATCTTGGCTTGGGAGCCAATTCCCTCCTCCCTTCTCAGGCACTTTACCCCTTAATTATCCCTGTCCTTCAGGTCCTTCAACTACCCTGCTGTTCCCCCATCTGACTCCCACCCCAAACCTGCATTCTTCCTACTGGCATTTACAAATGCTGAGTCTATACATTAAAAAAAATAAATAAAAAATCTTTAATCTCACATCCGCCTCCAGCTACCATCTCTCTCCTTTCCCTTCACAGCCAAAGTTCTCAGCCAAGCTGTCTTCATTTCTTCACCTCCCACTCATTCCACAACCCATTCTAAAAGTGAGTTTCGCCTCTATCCCTCTCTCCACTATAAAACAGCCTTTACTACAGTTACCAATGATTTCATGTCACCCAATACAAAAGACATTTTTCAAATCGGGCCTCATTTTACTTGCTTTCTCCGGATCATTCAATACTGCTGACTTCTCCCTCCAGAAAACACTCTTCCTTGCATCCTACTGTGTGGTTGTCCTCCGTCCCTCTGGTCATATCTTCTCTGTCTGTTCTGCAGGCTCACTTCTCAAGCTTTGGGCTTTGGCCCTTTCCCTCTTCTGCCGCACTCTCTCCCTAACATGGTTGCAGCTGCAGTTACCACCAATATGCCGATAACTCCTAAGCTTAGAGCTCTAGCCCTTTCCTCCCCTTTGAGATCCAGAAACACATATCAAACTGCCTCAAAGGTACCTCACATTCATGATGTCCAAAGCTGACCTTACATGGACCAGTCCATCTGTTTTTTCCCAGTGTTCTCTATACTAGTGAATGACATCACCATCCATCTGTTCCATAAGTCAGCAACTTCAAAGACATCCTCACACTTTCCTCTTCTTCACATTTCTATCCAATGCCTCAATACTTAACAGCCTTAAAAGACTCTTGAATGTATTTATTTCTTGCCATCTTCCTTGCCACCTGTAGGCCAAGCTATCATCATTTCACCCTGGAATATGACTGTGGCTTCTCAACTGGTCACGGCACATCCAGCACCCTTGACCTTTCCAACCTGTTTTTGCACTTTGGCTAGAGTGATCTTTTCAAAGTGCAAATGTGACCATGTTAACCCTCTCTAGTGTCAGTGGTTTCCCTTTGCTATTAAAATAAAAACTTAAAGCATTAACATTTCCTACCAGGTCCTTCACGGTCCAGCCCTGCCTACATATCTAGCCTAGCTTGTCTCGTATTCCCCCATGCCCTCTGCCTACTAGCCACACTGGCCTTATTTCAGGTCCTCAAACCAGCCATGGTCCCTCTACTCAAAGGCTGTTGCACAGGTCATTCACTCTGCTAGACCATCCTCCTTTTCACTTGCCGTCTTATCTACTCATCTCCTATTATCCTTCATTCTGAGCTCAAAAGGGACTTCCTAAGGGAGCAAGACCAGGTGGTATTCTCTTGTTAAAATGCTGCCATAAAACTTGCCACCCTAATTTCACATTGACTCTCATCTCCTTTTGTATCTGAATTTTTAAAAATCCCTGTTGTGTCCTTAGTAGGTGTCACAATGACTAGCAGTAAGTATTTCTTGAATTAATGAATGATTAAAGGAAAGAAAAGGGGAAAGAGCTACCCTATATTTTGGGGGAGAAAAGTCCTTCAGTGACTCCCAAACTGTGAGAGTTTTTAGGTTATAAGTGTGGCTCTCAGACCTGCCTTCCTCTCACCAGTCTCCCTGGTTTGAAACAAGATGTGAGTCTTCAGGCAGCCTGGAGTCCTGGAGCCATCTTACTTCTTCCACATCACTTGGGGCCCTGCCAACTCAGGAGTCTCCTAGTTATTGCCTTTAGGTGCCCAGGGGACCAAAGACTGGGGGTCAAGGCTAGGTCAGTGCCAATCACTTAACAAACAAATGTGCCCCTGGGACCTTCGAGGGAAGCCAGCTTCATGGGAAGTGCTAACAAGTACCACAGGGAAAGACACACCTGCCCATTTCACTCTGCAGATAAGGCTCCCCTGGGGAAGTCTTCAGCAATAGATGTTGGGTGATTAGATAGGTATAGAAGTGGTGAGTTTATGGTAAACTCTTTGTTCCCCAAATCCCAGCTACCTTGGGCCCAGCTCACACTAGCAGGCAGCTCAGATACTTCAGGCTAAAAAGACCTTTTAGGAGGCATCTGTCCATTAGCCTGGAGAGATGGGGCTCTTTGCAATTCTGAAAGATCTCTATTAAGATCCACATTTCTTGGTAGTTTATCCTAGGGTGTTACCAGTTTGCAAACCTCTGGGGAGGGGGCTTTAACTCTAATTCTTCCTACCTCTAATTGTCCTAGTCTTTTTCCTTCTATTTGGCCTCAGAGTTGATCGGAGAAGAGCTCTTATACTTTTGTATAACAAGCCTTTTAGCTAAACTGAGATGTAGAAGCCTTTCTTCTATATTTCTGAGGAGGAAACTGAGACCTAGAGTGAGTAAGCGACTTGACCTATCTTACACAATAAGCCACAAAGCCAGGAGAAGGATCTATTGGTTCTGACCAAGCCCAAGTGTGTTCTTTCATCTCCTTTACCTTTCCTTCTCTCAATTGGAGAGAAAGCATATGGTAGATTGTTACACTAATGAATCATACCCCCTGTATCCATGTCCTTGTGTGATCCCCTCTGACACTGACTCTGG